CTTTTAGGCTGGCCTAAATCTATATATTAGTAACACCTGTGAGAGACACTGAATGAGAACAACTTGTCTTGCCCAAGAAACCCTGCGGGTCAGATCTCAAACAAGTGTGCTAATAGCCTGTGAACAGGCGAGGACGGAACAAAATTGGGCGAGCAAAGCAAGTGGACGAGCGCGAAGCTGAAGAACTTGAAGAGGGAAGCGATTGGGGTGGGACTGATTCAGGCTCGCCGGGAACATGTTTGCTAACCACTAGACTGACGTGTCTTCTAAAGATTGTAAGAAGTGGTTTTCACAAATAATTGCGCTTTTTATTAAACCTTAGTTACTACATGCACTGTGATTGGTCAATTTAGCAGGCCGTATTCTACTGTATGGCCCACTAAAATGTAAAGCTGTTTTTGTTACCACAGTGTTTCATGATTTATCATCAAGTGTTCTTAACTTTTATAGCAAGTAACAGTTGAAAACTTTCTTTTACTTTAAATATTTGTGTATTAAATGCTAACGACTTAACATCAATTTCAAATTGAATGTTCTGCTTTCCATGTGCATCAGAAATTGGAAGCCATTCCGTATGAATAGAAATTGTTCAGACACGCCGTAGTGATATAATAAATATCTTGTTTACAGATCCTGTTTTTTCCCCTACGAAGGGGGAAAAACTTGATCTGTAACTACTTACAGAACAGACCTCAAACTTGGTTAATAAGAGGTATGTCTGAAACTTTTTCATTGTGCATGAAAATACTGCATGATATTAAAACTTTATGTTAAAATGATTATTTGAAATAAGCTCTAAAAACAGATATTTGTAAAAATACGAAAAAAAGGTACGCAAACCAAGGTATAACGTATACTGAATATTCCTCCATGTGATCACACGGTGATTACCTGACAAATAGGCGCATGACGAACCAATCACCATTGGCAGCTTTGTCATAGATATGATATTTACTATTATACTCAGAGCTAAAATGTTGGATAATTTTTAACTGCAGCATTTGTTATACATTCAAGCGTACTTACTTCAGCTATATTTTTTGACAATCAAACAGAGTTGTGACTAATAAGAGGAGAGTCACTTTGATCAAGACTATAAAAACTCAACATGAGGATGAATTTTTATCACAAAGATGGAGGCGCCTTTGTCAACCGTATGATCTGAAGTTTATACAGAAATTGCACCACACTGAAATGTACTCCGGTCAATCATTGACTCTTTCGCGTAAATGTCTGTGGTGAGTCTTGTCTGTTAAATATGATTATTCTATAGCGACTTCTGAAAAATTATATTGAAACTCGACTGACTGACAAGGATCAGTGTATTTTCATGAGCATCACATAAGTTTATACTAAATTACGACACGTGTGTTCGGACTGACATATGTGCCCGCCATTAACATACTACGAGCTTCTGACACCCGTCTGAAACCTTCAAACCTTCATGCTTTCAATTGTTATTTTGATCATTTCATCTCTAAACCTCATATAACATTGAGCAATATTCCACATTTACTGGGTAAAATAAGTACATGATATTTTTCATCGGTGCAGTTGATAAATGCGTTATCGCAATATCAGTTTAATTTATGACATTTTATTGCACGATATGCTTTCAACTAAATTTCACATATCTTACGTCTGAGACAGTTAAACTCACCTTCCTTTTGGCATCTAGTATCCTCTCTACTTCATAAATGTTATCTGTACTGTCAGATTCACTGTCGGAATCCATTATTTCAATTTTCAGAGTATTTCGCCAAAACGGAACTTCAGCGAGAATCGAAACGAATTCCATCTGAGACTGCGGTCACAAAGTGCAGCGAAATGTTTATAGTTCCCAGTCTACCGTCACCTTTTTTACCTCAAAAAAAAAAAAANAAAGCTGCTATCTGGCTTTTTAAAAGTAAACAACGTCGACAATTGTCGAGTCATTTTTTCACGCGTGCATTAGAACAACAAATTTCAAACTCGCGAGCTCTAGATGTGGCTCCTGTTTCCGTTTGTCTATAGAGTAACTCCGTGAGATGCACGCAGAAGATTGCAGGAGAGCAGGAGGAGGAGAGAAGCGGTAAAGAGTTGCCCATGTCGTGGCAAGAAAATCTACATCAAAAGACCCTCGTTATCGGTATCTGTTTCCAAATTAACAGGGATTTTTCTTGCTTAGAGTGGAGCGATCTGCACAAGGTGCACGTGCGTGCATAGCCTGCGAACAGGCTCC